AGACCAATTGCCCTCTTTGCAACAGAAATTATTAAGGTCAGTTAAGATTTGGAAATCGAATGTGCTGTTTTCAGGCCATTGGAACCCATTGTCTAATTTATACTGAGGCCAGTAAATCCTAGGGTCTGAAGATTCTTAAGTACACAGCCCAGGGGTGTGGTGCAGGGAATGGTCAATTGTGAATTCCCTATGGTGATGGGCTGTGGCTTAAGGTCTGTTCTCAGTGAAGTTAAGGCAGAGAAAGGAGTCTCCATCCCCCCTAATGTTCACAAGAAATAGACTGAGCCCTCCCTCTGTGACAGGTGACCCCATCAAGAAAGTGGGCAAGGGAACCTAGTTTCCCTGGAGGACTTGTCCTGACCAGTGCTGGATTTTTGTGGGGCCGGCCATAACTGTAACAACCCAGGACAGTCCAGAATGTGGGAAAACAGACTAAAGCCACTTAATTATGAGTTTATGCCTAGTGTTGATGGAGAAGGAAGCAAGACAAGGAGAGGTCCACTATCAAGTCATGGGCATAACCCAGATCAGTCTGGAGGAATTCTAGGAGGACCCAAGTAGGTGTCATGAGTCCAGCAGAAGTTCAACTGTGTTCATGCATGGCTGGGGGCCTTCCTTGAACACACAGGGAGTTCAGGAGCTGGACAATCATGGTCTCTCTGAGTGCCAAGTGCCCAGTTGCTAGAAACATTCAATGGCTCTTACCGGACCCCTCACTAGACCTTCCTAGGTTTTGGTGCCAAATGAAAGGTGTGGAGTGGGCTGGGTTCCAACATCTATGACATAAGGCCATAATGTATCAAAATAAGCACTTGGGTTACAGCTAGGCTGGGTCCGACAAAGGAATCAGCGGAGAGTGAAGGAAGGGAAATGTTTTTATTAACTTTTGCTGGCTACAAGCCATTCTGCTGATGTAAGGGTCTGATCTGTCCTTGGCTCTTCCTGGAGCCAGATGTTCAGTGGCTATCTGGACTATGCTGTGCTCAAGATTACAAGCTTTCTGCAAGATATATGCTAAGCACAATATGTTTTCTCTGTCCCATTTTACTCTCTTTAACCCTTTCAATTTCTAGTTTTATGCCATTGTGATATCAGAAGATGCTTAATATGGTTTCAGTCTTCTTGAATTTGTAGAGACTTAGCCTATGTCCTAATATGTGTTCTATCTTTGGAAATGTCCCATGTGCACTTGAGAAGAATATATATTTTATGATTTTAGGGTGAAATGTTCAAAAGATGTCAATTAAGTCCATCTGATCTACTGAGTCATTGAAGATTGCTGTTTCTTTGTTGAATTTTTGTCCGGAGGATTTATCCAGTAATGTCAATAGGGTATTAAAGTCCCCTAATATGATTGTATTGCTGTCAATCTTTCCCTTGATATCTTCCAGAAGTTTATTTTTTTTTAATGTATTTGGGTGCTCCTTCATTGGTTACATATATGTTTATCAGAGTTATATACTCTTGTTGAATTGCTCCCTTTAGTATTATGAAGTGGCCTTCACTATCTCTTGTTATGGCCTTCATTTTGAGGTACATTTTGTCAGATGTAAGTATTTGTACCCCAGCTTTGTGTTGTTGTTTTTCATTTTTGTTTGCCTTAAAAATATATTTCCATCCCTTCACTTTCAGTTTGTGAGTCCCTTGTTATGAGGTGGGTCTCCTATAGAAAGCATATATGGATCATGTTTTCTTATCCATTCAGCCACCCTATGTCTATTGATTGGAGCATTTAATCAATTTACCTTTAAAATTATTATTGATAAGTACTTGTTTGTAGCCATTTTTATTTTTTGTGCCTGTGTTTTTTCTTCCTTTTCTATTTTTTCTTTTTACAACAGTCCCTTTAGCATTTCTTACATTGCTGACTTGGTAGTAATAAACTCCTTTAGCCTTTTTTTTATTTGCAAAGCTCCTGATTTCCCCTTTAATTTTGAATGATAGCCTTGCTGGATAGTATTCTTCGATTCAGTCCTTTGTTTTGCATCACTTTGTATACTTCATTTCATTGCCCTCTGGCCTGAAGTGTTTCTGTTGAGAAATGATTTGATAATCTAATAGGAGATCCCTTGTAGGTAACTCTCTGTTTCCCTCTTGCAGTGCTTAAGATCCTCTTTTTGCTGTTAATGTTTGCCATTGTAATTATGATATATCTTGGTATAGGTCTTTTGGGGTTCATCTTGTTTGGGTATCTTGGTGTTTGTGTGACTTTTTTCTTCCTCAAATCAGGGAAATTTTCTGTCATTTCTTCAAATATGTTTTCTAATCCTTGCTCTTCTTGTTGTCCTTCTCGCACCCCTATTATATGGATATTGCTTAATTTAATGTTGTCCCTAAGCTCCCTCAAACTCTCCTCCTGCTTTCTATTTTTTTCTCTAATTGCTCTTCAGATTGGGTGTGTTTTCCTACCCTGTCTTCTAGCTCACTGATTCGGTCCTCCCTTTCTTCTAGTCTACTATTGAAACCTTCCAATGTGTTTTTTTATTGTAGTTGTATCATTTTTTTTTTATTTCCTCTTGATTCTTACATAAGTTATTGATTTTCTCATCTAGCCTGTCTAGGAACTGTATGACCCTTACTCTGAATTCTTTCTCTGACATTTTGCATGCCTCTGTTTCATTCAGTTCCTTTTCTGGTGATTATTTCTTTTCTTTCCTTGGTGATTGTTTCTTTTTCTCCCTATTTTTTTGTTTCTTTCTTGCTCTGGTCTCCCTGCTGGGGGTCCCATGCATTAAAGCGCCTAGCAGTCCAAAGGTCTTGGACCCTTACCACAGGGGTTGGGTCTGCCTTGAGTTTCACACCATTATTGTCTCTACTCTGAATTGTACCCCTTTCTCCTCCAGTCTGGTTCCTCAGTTTTCTGTTTCTCAGAGTTGGCGGGTATGGGTGCATAGTTGCTCTATTTTGTGACTCTCTGTAAAGACCCAGAATCCTCTGGCATACAATTTTCTGTGTGGCCCAGCTTCTAAGGCAGAATGGTACCTAAGTCCCTCTAGCAGTGCACTTGCAGTGTGGTTCTGTGACCTGTTGCTGGGCACACCGGGTCCTACCAGCAGCTCTGGCCTGGGCTGAGGGTAGGGCTTGTGCCAGGTGACATCTGTGACTGTGCTGGGTTAAAAGCACACACAGTCCAAAGGCTCTGTCTATGCTGGGGGTGGGGCACTCAGCGGCCAAAGGCTCTGTCTGTGCTGGTGGCAGAGCACCCACTGTCCAATGGCTCTGTATCTACTGGGTGTGTAGCACACACTGGCCCAAGGCTTCGTTTTTGCCAGGGGCTGGATGCAAACCAGGCTGCCACTCTGTCTGTGCCAAGGTGGGGCACCCACTGGTCAGAGGCTCTGTCTCTGCTGGGGGCATAGCAAACACTGGGCTGCAGCTCTGTCTATGCTGGGGGTGGGGTGCACACCAGCCAAAGCTCTGTCTGTGTGCTGGCAGAGTGCACGCTTGCCAATGGCTCTTTCTGTGGGGGGGATGGGATAATCACTGGGTGAGGGCTCTGTCTGGGTGAGGGTGTAGCATGCACCAGGCTGTGGCTCTGTACTAGGACTAGGGATGGAGCAAGGAGTGGGATGCCCGTGGCTTGCACTCACAGCATGGGGACCTAAAGCACGGGATTCTGGAGCATTGGGTTTGGGCTTCATCTAAGATGCATAGCTCAAGATATCTGTCTGGCAAATACTCACTGCAGATATCTGGGACCTATGTCATGGTATCAAACTGCTCACTGCCTGAGCACAGTGGTGGTTCCACATGTGTTATGGCTGCAGGCAACTCCCTGCACAGGTCCTGGGGTGCTATGTGAAGTAGTCTGGATTTTGGTGTTGCAGCACTCCTGGCCTTTGTTACTCCCCTATACAAGATGCTGTGGGTTCCACACCAAAGCCTAGCAAGTCTTGGGGTGCCTTCAGCATCAGCAGGGGTTCCCAATATAGGAGAGCCTGTTCTCCCAGTTGCTGGGACTTCTAAGATATTTATCTGTTCCTCATTCACCCACACACATACAACACATGTCTACACATGCCCCTCTTGCCCCTTTACTCACTCACACTCCCTCCCTCTTTATTTAGATATATATATTTTCCAATTTCTTCTTATCTGTAGGGCTTGCCTATTTAGTATTTTTAAGTCTATGTGTAATAATAACTCAATCTTGATTTTTTTAATCTATCAATTTGTATTGCCTATTATTTCTTTTAAGTTTTATGTATCAAGTAAACTTTGTATGAGTTTTAAACAATGTATAAGAACATTTGTAGAGGTTAATTTTAAACTTAGAAATAATTTCAAACTTACAGGAAAGTTGTAAAGTAAGAAAAGTACAAAGAACATTCATATACTATTTGCCCAGATTCACTTATTGTTAACATAACATTTCACTGCTTTTAATTTATAATTTGAATATGCTCTGTCTTTCTCTTTACCCTCTCCTCTTCCCACCTCTCTACATATATATATATATATATGTATATGTACATACATCCACTCATATATTTTTTCTTAGCCATCTGTTAAATTTGTATACATCATGACCTCTTTACCCCTAAATAATCCAAGGTGTATTTCCTAAGGGATATTCTGTGGAGACAGTTTGAGCCTCTGGATAATGTGATTTCTTTGAACAGAAATTATTATATTTTTCTAGCTTTTCTGGCTAAGATTTTTCTAAAACATTTAGTCTGCCATGCCAGAAATTTCTAAAGTTTTATTGCTGTGGTATATTTCCTATTGTGAGGGCCTGTCTGTCCTCATTACCCTTCATTTATAGAATTTCCTTACTCTAGCTATTTATTTTTTCTATATTAAGTTTTACAATAAATTTTTCTAGTTTTGAAATAATTATTTTTATTATTAAATTATGAATTAATTTAGGAAGATTGATAATATCATGTTAACAGTCCTACATAACAGGGTCTTTTTCCCCCCATTTCTCCAAAACTCCAAAACTTCTTTTGGAATCCTCAGCAGTCTTACTTTCTCTTCATTTTTTCTTCTGTTCACAGCAAGATGGATTCTGGATATACTCTGAATACTGTAACAACCATCTGGATGCCTGCATGGAGCTCTCCAAACTGATGAAGGACAGCCGCTATCAGCACTTCTTTGAGGCCTGTCGCCTCTTGCAGCAGATGATCGACATAGCTATTGATGGTTTCCTTCTGACTCCAGTCCAGAAAATCTGCAAGTATCCCTTACAGTTGGCTGAGCTCCTCAAGTATACTGCCCAGGACCATAGGTAAGGGATTAAGGGAGGCAGGAGTGGAGGAAAGAGCCTCCTCTACATGTTGGTTCTTATCGTACTAAGTATGTATGTTCTTTTTCCTTGTCTGAGCTTCTGTTAGCTTCTTTGCACAATGGGATGATGACATATTCTTGCTTATCTCTCAAGGCTGTTATATGTATAAAGTAAGGGAAGGTTCTGATAACTCATGATAACTTGAGAGTTGCTTATAAAGTTGTAAAGCAAGTTTCCTTACATTATAGTGCCTCTGTTACTGGTTTTTAAGAGCTTATTTATGACTAAAGATGTTAACCGTTTCTTATGCATTGCAAATGAAATACCATGTTTTTGTTACTATTTTATTCTGGTGTTTCACTTTTTGGTTGTATCAAACTTGTATATTAAATAAATATTATCACGCTCTGTTTTTTAAAATAGATGTAAATCAGTATGCACAAAATCATTATGCATCATCATTATTATACAACTTAATCCCTGCCTTCAGGGAGCTTATAGTCTGGTCCTTAGTCCTGAGTTTAGCCAAGTAATTCAACACAGATGGAATAATTCTTCAACTGTTATTTTCTACTCTGCTTAATAGATTTAAATATTTTGGAAATAGCCTGCCCAACTATACTGACCTTAAATTTATTCTGCAAGGTTAACTCCTTGCTTTTCTTTATCTTTTCTATCCTGCTCTGCCTCATTCCAACTGTACTTTCCCATTAGACCCTGAACATACTGGGGGAAAATAGACTTGAAACTTCCCCTGAAGTTTTTTTTTTAAAGGTTTTTAATATTTTCAAGAAAACCAACTCAAAATGGACCAAGAAGTTTATCTCTCAGAATGGAAATGGCACTCCTAACCTCCTGCTAGTAAGGTATATGCTGGGTGTCATCTCCAACAATGGGGATGGTCTAAAGTGAACCAAAATGGCAAAGGTTGACTGACAGTATGGCACTGTGGTAGGGATTAATTCATGGTTGAGTGGGGCACTCTCCCACTCTTTCACGTGTTTTACTTCATGAACTAGAGTCCTCAGCCTGTTTCTACACTGCCTTTAATTGGTATTAGATACCTAATCTTAGACCAGCTGGCCCAGCTCTCTGCTTTCTTTCTGATTGAGCACTCCAAGAAGAAAGAAGGACTTTGGCCAATTGTTTTTAGCTTCCTATCTGATTCGTATTAGGCCTGTTTCCTACTTTTATTTGGCTCCATTGCCTAGGTTCCTTGGATATGACTTCTAGAGGTAGTTGCATAAAGCCATGAGTTTTGGCCAGTTGGTTTTGTTTATGTCAAACTTCTAGGTCAATCCATGTGTTTATTTTTAAGTTGATGTTGTTTTTCTAAGTAAATCATGGGTCATGTGCTTCAGTAGTTTTGGAGCCCTGGATAGATTTCAGATATGAATCCAAATACAGTGACACTGGACTCTCTCTTTATGTGAGTAACACCACCAGTGGTAATTGTGCCTTCCATGCTCTGTTGGCTATGAGGAAGGCAGGTAGAGAAGGACCTTGCAAAGGAGGATTCTTCTCTCTCCTCCCTGTGTCTGTTTGCTAGCTTGGGAACGGTGGCAATATTCATTAGATATGAAATTTTGAGGTGACTAAATCTCATTTGAAAAGATTTAATACAACCCATTGTCAGAACTGAATGCCAAGTTTTTTAAGGATACAGTTTTTTGTGAGAGCTAACGTAAGACATTGAAGAACCCCCACTAAAATTAAGATATTTTGAAAATAAAAATGGAAAATATTTATAACACTTATAATGGAAAGACCCTTAAAGGAAGGTATTTTAGTCAGACTTCCTCCTTCTATAGCTAGAGAAACTGAGGCCCAGACAGTGAAATGAAAAAGAGCAAGTCTGTGGCAAAACAGGGAAACAAATTTTGAACAGTGGTCTGAGAACTTAGCTCTTTTTTAAAAAAAATTAGGTTTTTTTGTTTTGTTTTGTTTTTTAATCCTCACTCAAGGCTATGCTTATTGACTTGAAAGGGAAACATTAATGTGAGAGAGAAACCTCAATCAGTTGCCTCTTGTACATGCCCCAACCTGGAATTGAACCTGAAACCTAGGTATGTGCCCAGATCTGGAATCAAACCCACAACCTTTTGGTGTACATGATGGTGCTCCAACCAGTACTGGAAACCTTTTTAAAGAGCCCTCCAAGTGATTTCCATGCCCAAGAAGGTTTGTCAGCCATTGTATTAACCAGTCTGCAAGGTGTCTTTCGGTTCTGCTAACTCATGATAACTTGAGACTAAATGCCCTCCACAGTTATACTTCATGGTGTTAAATGACCAAAAGCAGCCACTATTGTACCTAAATCTCAGTGGAGCAGCCTCCAGGCCAATAGTTTCAAAACTGGTATATTCAAATAATGGCTTTCAAATGTTTTTATATCACAGTTCATTTCCCACCTAATCCTGAGTGTCTGTTCCATGGAACCTAGCAGGAGGCTCTAAAAATCATACTTGGGGATAGATGATTTCAACGAGGTAAATTATATGTTACATAATTGCTTTTAAGAGCTCAGAAAGACCATTTTCAAAACACAGCAAAAGGCTATGTTAGGCCGAAACTGGTTTGGCTCAGTGGATAGAGCGTCGGTCTGTAGACTGAAAGGTCCCGGGTTCGATTCCAGTCAAGGGCATGTACCTTAGTTGCGGGCACATCCCCAGCAGGGGGTGTGTAAGAGTCAGCTGATCGATGATTCTCTCTCATTGATGTTTCTAACTATCCCTCTCTCTTCCTCTCTGTAAAAAATCAATAAAATATATATTTTTTAAAAGGCTATGTTAGTTTCTTAGGTCAAAGCAACCTCAGGGCCTTTTGAGTTTAGTGGGAACCAATAAGATAGGTCATCTGCCTGGGATTTGCCATTTCTGTGCTACTTCACTATGTGACTGGAATCCCTTTCTCAAGGCTTCTTTTCCCTCTGGGTCCCTGGTCCCCTCTTCTTCTATCCCCTGGGATCAGAAGTGCTGAGAGGGCCGAAACCAGTTTGGCTCAATGGATAGAGCATCGGTCTGCAGACTGAAAGGTCCCAGGTTTGATTCTGGTCAAGGGCATGTACCTTGGTTGCGGGCACATACCCAGTGGGGGGTGTGCAAGAGGCAGCTGATCAATGATTCTCTCTCATTGATGTTTCTAACTCTCTATTCCCTTTCTCTTCCTCTCAGTAAAAAATCAATAAAATATATATCTTTTAAAAGAGTGCTGAGAGAATGGCTCAGATAGTGACAGGCTATATCAGTCCCTATTTTCCTTCAAAATGCCCCATTGAGCCCAGCATTATACCCCTTTTATCAGGTTCAGCGAGCTGCATCAAGATGGCAGATCCTGTGATGCATGTCAAAGTAGCTTGGATTTGAAGGCAATTAGAAGTTGCTGCCAGATTTAAAAGCTTAGTATGATAGGTGTTAAGAAAGGTAGGTCTGAAATGCAGGCAGTCAAAGTGGCTGCTGAGGTAGATTAGATGGATGGAGAGTGATAAACGGGGAACAATACTACCTTTGCTTACAGAAGGGTGACATGTCCCCATCCTGCCACCCACCCTTCCTTAAGCTGATAAGAATGAAGACTGTGTATAAGAGGGCATTTAGCTGACATCTGGAATAAAAAATCTTGCTTCAGTCAATCTCCTCCTTAGGGGCCTGGGCCCACACATCATCTGGAGTTCTCGGGACTCTGAGCAGGATTCTGACTAAACCATAGCTATTTACTTTTTTCACACACTACTAAAGCTAAAAGGGCAAGTTAGGGATCAAATATTTCCTCTATAAACATTGTGAGAAAGGCTGCCAGGTAAAAATAGCAAAGGTCAACTGACAGTATAGCACCATGGCAGGAATTAATTCATGGTTGAGTGGGGCATGAGGTAATAAGCATTCTCATGTCAGTGCTGTCCAGTAGAACTTTCTACAGTGATGTAAAAGCTCTATTTCTATGCTACCTAATATTGTAGCCACTGACCATATATGGCTACTAAGTACTGAGAAATGTAGCTGATAAAACTGAGGAACAAAAAATTTATTTCACTTAAAGGTAGCTAATGGCTACCTTATTGGGCAGTATAGCTCTATGCTTTACCTTACAGAAAGTAGCTTAAGGCATTTTTTCTGATGCTCTCAAATTAGATAGAGGAATGGAAGGAAACAGAAATCTAGCCCAAAGAACAGAGGTACTTATTTATGTTAACAGCTTCAACACTTCAACCATACCTTCTATCATTGCCCTATTCTGCTTCTAAATGGCAGGCTCAGATAGTATTGCCAGAGAATAATGTTGACATTGTTACAGAGCCCAAAAGATCCCCCCATAGGCTGGAGGATCTATTGTAAAAGGCTGATATGTAACATGAACAAATGTAAAGATTTGCAGTTGTGTTTAAGAAATTAACAGTTAAACTACAGATTGAGAGACATGCAACTTCCAGACAGCATATTTCAAAGAGATGTAGGAAACATTAGTCAGCCATAAGCTCAATATGAGTCAGTAATAAGATCCAGAAGAAAAACTAATAATAGCTAATATTCATAAAGAATCAGGATAAAGAAGAGCTTATTTTTCAACAGAGTTGTTTTGAGACAAAATAAACTGGTTAGGAGGCATAGTAAGCATTGTATATCACTGGAGGTGATTAAATGCAGTAATGTTTGAAGACTGGGATCTGGCAGTTGTACAGAAATCAAACTGGAGTAAGGGATTAAAATAGTTTACATGGATGATTAAACCCTCAACAAATCCTAAGGTAATGTTCCCCATTTTGTGGGAAACTGAGTCTCTGAGAGGGTGAATGAAACTTGACAAAGGCCACACCACTAGTCAGTGACAAAGCTAAGCTTTGAGCCCAAGGAGTCTGGCTTCAGTCTCTGTTCTAATCACTACTCTATCTATGATCTCTATATTGTTCAGGAGGATGTTATTTCACAGTGATTTGGGCCAGAGTGCCTTAGAAATAGGTGATAGTTCCTTTTTTTCACATCCTTGTCAGCACTTGTTGTTTGTTGATTTGTTGATGATAGCCATTCTGACAGGTGTGAGATGGTACCTCATTGTCATTTTGATTTGCATCTCTTCGATGATTAGTGACTTTGAGCATGCTTTCATAGGTCTCTTGGCCTTCCTTCTGTCTTTTTTAGAAAAGTATCTATTTAGGTCCATTGCCCATTTTTTTTAATGGGTTGTTTATCTTCTTTTTGTTAAGTTGTATGCATTCCCTGTAAATGTTGGAGATTAAGCCCTTATCAGAGATAACATTAGCAAATATGTTCTCCCATATAGTGGGCTTTCTTGTTTTGTTGATGGTTTCTTTTGCTGTGCAAAAGCTTTTTATTTTTATACTAGAGGCCTGGTGCACAAAATTTGTGCAAAGGTGGGGGTTGTCCCTCAGCCCAGCTTGCACCCTCTCCAATCTGGGATCACTCTCACAATCCAGGACTGCTGGCTCCCAACTGCTTGCCTGCCTGCCTGCCTTCCTGATTGCCCCTAACCACTTCTGCCTGCGAGCCTGATCACCCTCTAACCACTCCCATGTCACCCTGATTGATGTCAACTGCTCCCCTGCTAGCCCTTTTGCCCCCACCTTCACTCCTCTGTCAGCCTGGTCACTCCTAACTGCCTTCCCCTGCAGGCCTGGTCCCTCTCAACTGCCCTCCCTTGCAGGCCTGGTCCCTCTCAACTGCCCTCCCTTGCAGGCCTGGTGCCTCCCAACTGCCCTCCTTTACTTGCCTGATCACCCACAACCATCCTCCCTTGCAGGCCTGGTCCCTCCCAACTGCCCTCCCCTGCTGGCCATCTTGTGTCCACATAGGGGCAGGATCTTTGACCACATGGGGGCAGCCATATTGTGTGTTGGAGTAATGGTCAATCTGCATATTACTCTTTTATTAGATAGGATAGAGGCCTGGTTCATGGGTGGGGGCCAGCTGGTTTGCCCTGAAGGGTGTCCCGGATCAGAGTGGGGGTTCCCTTGGGGCATGGGGCAGCCTGAGCAAAGGGCCTGTGGTGGTTTGCAGGCCAGCCATGCCCCCTGGCTACCCAAGTGGAGGCCCTGATATCTGGAATTTATTTACCTTCTACAATTGAAACTTTGTAGCCTGGAGCAGAGCCAAGCCTCCTGCTCAGTCAGTGGCAGCAGCATTTCTGTTTGGATTTGTTTACCTTCTATATTTGAAACTTTGTAGTGTTGAGTGGAGGCTCAGGCCAGCAAGGGCAGGCAGAAAGCTTGGCTTCCTCCGTTGCTGGGGAAATGCCTCTCTCCTACTCTCTGTGGCTCTAAGCCATCTTGGTTGGGTTTATTTGCATACTTGCTCTGATTGGCTGGTGAGTGTGGCTTGTGAGTGTGGCTGGTAGAGCAGAGTGATAGTTAATTTGCATACTACTCTTTTATTAGGTAGGATAGTTCCATTTGTTTATTTTCTCTTTAGTTTCCATTGCCCTAGGAGCAATATCAGTGAAGAGATTCCTTCCGCCTATGTCTGGATTTTGCTGTTTGTGGATTCATCTGGTATTTTTATGGTTTCCCATCTTATGTTTAAATCCTTTATCCATTTTTAGGTTGTTTTTGTGTATGGTGTAACTTGGTGGTCTAGTTTCTTTTTTTTTTTTTTTTTTTTTGCATATATTGGTCCAATTTTTCCACCACCATTTATTGAAGAGGCTGTGCTGACTCCATTGTATGTTCATGTCTCCTTTGTCAAATATTAATTGAGCATAGTGGTTTGGGTTGATTTCTGGGTTCTCTATTCTATTCCATTGATCTACAATATATGTTTGTTCTTGTGCCAGTATCAGGCTGTTTTGAGAACAGTGGCTTTGTAATACAGCTTGATATCTAGTACTGAGATCCCACCTACTTCGTTCTTCTTTCTCAGGATTGCTGCAGCTATTTAGGGACTTTTTTATTACAGATGAATTTTTGGAAAGTTAATTCTAGGTCTGTGAAATATGCCATTGGTATTTTAATGGGTAGTGTACTGAATCTATAGATTGTTTTGGGTAGAATGGACATTTTGATGATGACGTGCACTGCTGGTAGGAATGCTGAGTGGTGCAGCCTCTGTGGAGAACATTATGAAATTTCCTCAAAAAACTATAAATGGAATTCCCATTTAACCCAGTGATCCCACTTCTAGGAATATATCCCAAGAAACTAGAAACACCAATTAGAAAAAATATATGCACCCCTATGTTCATAGCAGCACAATTCACCATAGCTAAGATTTGGAAACAGCCTAAGTGCCCATTAGCAGATGAGTGGATTAAAAAATGGTGATATATCTACACAATGGAATACTACACTGTGGTAAAAAAAGAAAGAGTTCTTACCATTTGAAAAGCATGGGTGGAACTTGAGAGAATTATGCTAAGTGTAATAAGCCAGTCAGAGAAAGATAATATCACATGATCTCACTCATTTATAGAATATAATAAACAACATAAACTGATGTCCAGAGACAGAGAAACATCCATCAGGCCTCAGAGGGAAGGTAGGGGAGGCTGGGGGTAAAGAGGAGAGATTAACCAAATGACTTGTATTCATGCATATAAGCCTATCCAATGAACACAGACAACGGGAGGGGGATGAGGACATGAGTGGGGGTTTTGGGGGTAATGGGGAGATAAGGACACATATGTAATACCTTAATCAATAAAGAAATTAAAAATAAAATGGATATTTTTTAAAAAAAGAAGTAGGTGATAGAAGAAATGGTAAAGTTGTCTGGACCAAGGCATGTGCAAAGATCCCCTCTTGGTCTTTGGCTGGTTGTATCAGATAGGACACAAAAATAATAGTATAGAAAAGATATAGGTCTATTTTCATCTTATGAAAAAGATATCTGCAGAGAGGTGATCTGAGACTTGGACTTTCTCCAACTTTCTCTTATCCTAGCTCTAGGAGTCTGAACCTTATCCTTATTGTCCAAGATGACTGCTAGAACTTCAGCCATCAAATCTATATTCCAAACATCATGATTAAGTAAGGGCTAAAGAATGGTATGCCAATTTCCTTGAAAGAGGCTTCTCAAAAGTTATTCTCAACACTTTTTAAAAAGAGATATTTTATTGATTTTTTTACAGCGAGGAAGGGAAAGTGATAGAGAGTTAGAAATATCAATGAGAGAGAAACATTAATCAGCTGCCTCCTGCACACCCCCTACTGGGGATGTGCCTGCAACCAAGGTACATGCCTTTGACTGGAATCGAACCTGGGACCCTTCAATCCACAGGCCGACGCTCTATCCACTGAGCCAAACTGTTTAGTGAATATTCTTGACACTTTTATTTATATATCATTTGACATAATTTATACACATAGTCACCTATTAGTATAAAAAATGATAGGTAATGTAGTCTCCATGTGACATGGCTTCTATCTGAAAACCAGGGTTCTATTATACTAAGTAGGAAGAAGAGAATTGACAATAGGGTTGGCATGTAGCACATTGGTTCTCTGGCACATTGAATCATTCAACTTGTACTTTTGTGTTTTTGCAGTGACTACAGATATGTGGCAGCTGCTTTGGCTGTCATGAGAAATGTGACTCAGCAGATCAATGAACGCAAGCGGCGTTTGGAGAATATTGACAAGATTGCCCAGTGGCAGGCCTCTGTCCTAGACTGGGAGGTAGGATCTTTACCAACAGGGATATTGGGAAGTCTGAACAGCTTAGCCAGGACTACACATAGCCATGGATGGGTGAAGAGGAATTAGATTTGAAGAACAGCAGGAAGGATTTAGATAAGAACCAAAGTAAAACTTCCTGCTAATGAGAGGTATTGTATACTTGAATAGCTTTCTAAGAAGGTTGGAGAAATCTTTGTAACAGTGCTTCATTAAGAAAGGAAAGGTTCATCATTTTTCTTATTGCCAGGAAACAATTGGGTTGACTCAGTAGCTTTTCAAATCTCTTTCAACTCCTGGAATTTCATCACCACCAGATGAATACTTGGCTGAGAAGATCTATATGCTAATTCACTCCCAAACACAGAATAATTGGTTGTTTCTCTGGTGTTGGCTAGTCAATATACTTATTTTCCTTTTGGTAGGATCACCTCACCATGACATATCTATTAGGTCTACCCAAGCCTGCACATTTCAGGCCATGACTATCATCCCTGCCAAATTGACAGACCAAATTCTGTTTTTTGTCATCTGCTTATAAAAATAATACCTGACAACCCCATTCCATTGGGCATAGATACAAAGCCTAAGTAATAATAAATACCTTAGAGCAGCTTAGGGGAACAGCATAGAAAAGGACCTATTCCATGTACTGTAGTTTCTGGAAAATTTGAATTTCTAATTTTCTGATGCTGATATTTGGTTTAGCTATCACTCTACCACCCTCTACATGCATTAGATCCACTTGAAAGGCAGGAAGACACCTTCTTTTTAATTTTTTTTTTTTTTTTTTAGATTTTTTACCAGGAGCCCAAGTTTAGAGCTCGTGTTTGGTAACATGATTGTGATTTCTTCCTCATGGAACCCCTCCCCTCACATCCTGGTTGTATAATACCCAAGGATTTGTTGTAGTTTACCATCAGATTATTTAATCCAAAGAAGTTGGAGGATACACTAAACCCCAACATGATGGAGGCAGCAAGAGCATTTGTTTAAAAGATAAGGTGGCTTGATGAGGCATTCTCCTGGGACCAGGAGACCAAATCTGGTGCTGGGTGGATTTGTTATTTCTCTGCCCTCTTGTCAGCAGGCAGCACTGAAAATAAACTGTATGAAAAGGATGGCATTTCCTGAGACCACAACCCTATATCAGACAATCAGCCTATAATCAGAATGGTGTGCTGAGCATTGAGATGAGTGAGAAGTGCTTTTGCCTATCCAGGGGGGGAGTGGGGGCAAATACACTCTATGAAGAGGGAATAGTGTGAGCAAAATTCTAGAGGAATGGAAGAGAACAAAAGGCCTGTGGGGAAGGGGTCAGTGGAAAAGGATTGCACTTTGAAGGACAAGGTGAGAGCTCTGAATTCTGAGAGAGCTCTTCCCTTCACATGGACTGATTTTACATGGCCACTTTCAAGCAGCCATATAACGTGACCCATATAGGAACCATTGTATTATTCCCATTTTCCAAATAAGGAAACAGATTGAGAATGGTTAACATATTTCTCATAGGCACAGGTAAACTGATAGCATCAATGGGTCTAGTACCCAAGCCTTCTGAGATTTTCACCTCAGAAAACTTCCAGGGCAGCTGGTTATTCCATTAAGGAATCATTATTCTCCTGTGCTTCAGTTGTTAGAACATGGGATTTCGAGGGAATCTGACCTGGATTCAGCCACTTTAAGACAATTACTTCCAATTTCTCTGACCTTAGTTATGGGACATTAGTGGGTATGATTAGAGAATGAACTATGTATGTAGCACAGTATATAGGGCACATAGTAATACTCAATAGAATAACTTTCACTTATGTAGAGCTTATAATATGATGTGTACTTTCCTAAGAATTTTATATATGTTAATTTATATTATCTTCACAACAGCCAATGTGTTTGGTACTGCTATTATCCTCATTTTTAAAATGAAGAAACTGAGGCACAGAGAGAATATGTGAATTGCCCGATATCAACTGTCAACCACCTTGATAAGAATAAAGAGTGTATTTTTTCAAGGTTTTATTTGTTTTTGTTTTGCTTGGTAGAGTTACATGTGACAAGTAGTACTTAGAATAGAATTTGTCTACTGACTGATATGGTGGGTAGACCAGATGACACTGAATATTCCTAGTGCTGGTACAATCATTCTCAGTTTAGTAAGTGGTGCATCTAAAAGTAATTTGGCCATCCTTGTATGGCATTGGCCCCTTTTATAGATTTCTTTCACTTAATATATATTCAAAATAGATGGAGACACATCTTCCTGGGATACCTCAGATGGGACATGGCAGACTGGTACCACTCTCATCTTTCCATTCCTTTAAAGGAAAGGCCTGTATAGCTCTCTCATTCTGAGGACTTCCTTTCCCAGATCTGGGCTTTCAGAAGTTCTGTGCTAGTATGTGGGCTTCCCAAGGAGTGTTATCTAAGTTTTAAGGTATCCCTGGTATGGAATCTGCATTCACAGTAATATCTCTGAGCTTTCTTTTTGAGGTTGTATTATAGAAAATATTCCCACTGAGCTCCTCTTTTCCTTTCCATCCCTTAAACTGGGAAAAGATGATATGCTTGAGAATATAATATCCAGCTTCCCCTCTTTTTGGCCCAGAGCTGTTTGCCTCTGATTATTTCTGGGATGATGAAGCAGCCTTAATTTCCAATTGACTTCAAACTTTGAGTACGAGGGATAGGAACTTACACATCATCCTCAGATATCTCATTTAACAGCAGGAAAAGCTGAGACCCAGAGAGAGGAAGGGACTGACTCTCCAATAATTTTGGCCTGGATACAGCAAAATGTATACGTAAGAGTGAGCACATTCTCTGGAGCCATAGAATTGAGGTTTGATTGTAGATCTGTAGCTAACTAGCTGGATAAACTTGGCTGATCAGTTGACCTCTCTGTAACTCAGACTATAAAATGAGAGCAAGAATATTTATCTCTGAGGGCAACTGTGAGTATCAGAATAGATAAAGTGTAACACAATGTTTGACCAATATAGGTGCTCAGTAAGTATTAATCCTGGGCACTGCTCTTTGTCCCCATTTGCACATAGGCCAAAGAACACACATCCTTGTGCCCATGGCTTTGATTTGGTTTGCCTTGTGTTCCATGAGTTCCAAGCACACCTCTGTTAGCCTTATCCATTAAAGATGTAAGCTCCTCTGACAGACCTACCACATACCTCTGAAATAGCAGAATTGCCATAAAAAGGAGCCAGACTATAGAATTGAAGAATTAGGAATCAGGTGTCTTGGTGCTTTTCTGTGTGTCTGACTCTACATAACAAGAAGGAGGATTGTTTCCAACTCTCTGTATAATAAGCAAAGGAAGGATGTGGTCATAAAGTTTCCTATTTAATCAATATATCTTAATGAACTTATTAGGAGAAGAAAAACACTATTGTAAGAAGGTGTGTGGGTTCTCTTTTCTTTTATTATCATCTCCTTGCTCTCCCTTGTCCCTTTTTCTCATCTGGAAACAAAGAGACTTCTACCACCTATTCAGACTTAACCTTCAGATACAGGAAAGCATCTAAAAGACAAATGTTGGGATAAAATACTGTGGCAGAGAGATATTCATAGAGAAAAAGAGGTCAAATTAGAGAATGAACTTCATGGCAGCTGATGCCCCTAGGGCCAGAGGGCAATTGACTATAGCAGTTCTAGATAGCCCTGGGCTCATATGGCCTCAGGGTGAATATGAGTATTAGTCTTTCCAGCTCATGGAGTCTTTCAAGGATCCCCAGGAGTCCCTCCCTTCATCCCTCCTTTTCCACCAGTCCTTTCTGTTCTACTCCTGCCCCAGATTATGTATAGCCCTAGGTGCCTCCAGGCTGCCTCTCACTGTCACATGTCCTTCCCAGGGTGAGGACATCCTAGACAGGAGCTCGGAGCTGATCTACACTGGGGAGATGGCCTGGATCTACCAGCCCTATGGCCGCAACCAGCAGCGGGTCTTCTTCCTGTTTGACCACCAGATGGTCCTCTGCAAGAAGGTAATCACACCCTCTTCTTCCCTAAGGGATCTGGGCACTTCAGGGGACACTAGCCTTTCCCCCTTTATCATCCCCCAACTATTAATAAAGTGGGTTAAAACTATGGGTCAAAAGCAGACAGAAGATTGGCTGCAATTCTATATTGGGATGACTGGTATGGCATGAATATTATAGGCAAAGCTGGCTTTTGGACAATAAAGCTCTAAAAATAGGATTTTTTTTGTCTTGGTATCATTTTTACTATTTACCCTCTTGCCCCTGGTGATCCTTCTCCACTATCTACCACTCAGATCTGATAGCCTACTGATTTACACTAGGTATTAAAAATATTTAAAATATTTCTATCCCAGTTGGTGAATAGTGGCTTCCCTGAACAAATTACCCCTATTTCCACTCTAATGGCTCCTCACTGCCCCAAGAAACAACAAGGGTCCTCCTACCTTTCCCTGACAGGTATGTACTTTTGTGGTACAGGACTTTCCCCTTTGCCCTTATTTATTTTCTACATAAGTTGTATTACTTTCCTATAACTCTTGACTATGCTTTTTTTCTCCACCTCCATTCTCTGTAATCCTTTTCATACTCTTGTCATTGACTTCTGGCTGACTCAATGTGAATGTTGGTTTCTTGGTCTCCAGTCCTTGGAAGGTAGGAGGATGGCATATGTTCTCAGACTGATGGATATACTGTTCTCTTCTCCTGATGGTATACTGTTCCCCTCACTTTCTTTCTCAACATAGGGAGTTCAGACCACTTTTGGCTCCAGGGAGTGGTTGGGAAGAATTTTGGACCAGGGAAAATAAAAGAGAAGGGAAAAAACAAAGAATGCTTAGAGTGACTTTCTAAATTTGTTGTCCTACCCTTGGCTCTGACTCCATCATCCAGTCCCTTTGTTCTTAACCTCATCCAGTAGTAAAAGCATCTGAAGAGGAATGGTGAGTCTTGAAATACCTAGTTAAAAATTGTCATTTTTTTCCAGCCTGAGACATGAACTACACATTTGTTTTTAAGCACCCTGTTCTCTGTGTGTACCACATCTTTCATTAACTTTGTCCATTTACCTTTGACAGAGGATTGAGAGAACAAATTGAGTTTTGAGTCAAATTGCCTTAGTGTTGGAGATAAGCTCTGAATGCAAGATCCGGAACCAATAGTGGATTGGTTAATGGGTACAATAATTATCTTGGTCTGGAGCTGATCCTGGAAGACAGAACTTTTATGATTATAAAACTTGGCCCAATATCAGGCCTCTTCTTAGTTTCCCCTCCCCGACAATTCTTCCTATGGCATCTATCAAACCAGGAGATGGAATTGTTGAGGGTTAACTCATAAGATTTATTGCAAAAATGTACCCATTTTGCAAATTATTATGCAAAATCTTTCCCATAGTGTACATTGGAAATTGGGATTGCCTGAGCCACTTAGAACAGCTTTAAAAATGTGTAGCTTGATTTAGAGGGTGTGTGTATGTATATACACATATATATGTATATGTTTATGAATTAAGTGGTCATTATGGTATATGTGAAGATACCAGTGACTTCTAATTATCGATATGTAATCTATTCTTTAACTTTTGCTGTCCTCATTCTTTTCTTGTCACTTTTCTTTTGAAAAATGTAGATAAGATTCTTTGTTCTCTTTTTTCCTGTCCTCTCTGATGGCTGGCTCTGATCTTCTTAATCTCATTGCCCTGATATTTTAGCTATGCATGTGTATTGTTGTTTTTTCTGATATAATTATACTGGAAATTATTTTGCTGCTTTTGGGGATATTCCCCCTTTTCTCCATGTTTGCCGTTTCATTTTTAGTGGAAAAGGAGAAGAGCCCATTTCTCCTCTCTTGTCATTTATCCATGTTCCTACAGCCCTGAAGTTGCCAAAACAGACTTTGTCTTGTATCTTCTGTCAGTGGTACCGGTCTGGATATGCTCTGTTGTCTCCTGTGTCATAACTACTTGGTATTTATGTTGTTTTTGTCATATTCTGGAAAGTCAGAACTAAATAGAATTTAATGGTGCTAGAGAGAGGACTTCTTTTGTTCAAGTAACTTCCTGCATTTGGGCCATTTCTTCTTGCACTGATTGGTCCTTTGGAGGATGAGCCATTCAAAACAACTAGAAATGCAAACATATCAACAGAAATGGGCTTAAAGAGAAAGAGGACGAGGAGTTGAAGCTAGAACAACTGGGTCCTAGACTCTACTGTCTTTTACTAATTAGTCTAACCTTGGGAATTGCTTTAACTGTAAATTATTATTTTTCCTCAGTGTCAAAGCAGGTCCTTGATAAAATTTATCTTAGGAGGTTTCAGGAAGAACCATGTAAGTTATTAGGAAGCAATGAAGTTTACTCTTAAGAGCATGGACTCTTGGGCTAGACAAGAGGGAACCAATTTCTTTCTTTCTTTCTTTCTTTCTTTCTTTCTTTCTTTCTTTCTTTCTTTCTTTCTTTCTTCCTTTTTTCATGAGCTGCATGACCTTGAACAAATTATCTTTGCCTATTATTGTCCCCTCATTTGCAAAATGAGAATCATAGTCATATCTACATAGAAGGGAAATAGGTAAGGTCAAATGATGCAAAATAACTTCAGTGAGTGGCACATAGTAAACATACAATAAATACTAGCCACTGTACATTTAGTGTCACTAGTCATTTCTTCAGCAAATTTTTATTGGGAGGCAGTACCCAAGAAGGTTAAACAATCATAGATTCTAGAGCCAGATAGACTGGTCTCAAGGCACAGCTCTTCCATTTAGTATTTTTCCCCCTGGGCAAGTTTATTAAGTGCTCTATGTCTAGAGTTCCTCATAAAATGGGATTATAACAGTACTTTCCTTATAGAATTGTTGTGAGGATTATTTAAGTTAATAAATGCAAAGCATTTAACTATTGAGTAATACATAACTAAAATGTGATATACACAATGGAATCTTACTAAAACTGAGAATAGAAGAAACTCTTGCCATTTGCAACAATATGGATGAACCTGGAGGGCATTATGCTAAATAAAATAAGACAGAGAAAGACAAATACCATATGATCTAACTTATATATGGAATTTAAAGCATTTGAACTGATAAAGACAGAGAATAGAATGGTTGTTGATGGGCTGGAGGGGTGGAGGAAATAGAAAGATATTGGTCAAAGGATAAAAACTTTCAGTTATACCAGAAGAATAAATTCTCGAGAGCTAATGTACCAGCATGGTGAGCATAGTGATACTGCATTGTATTCTTAAACTTTACTAAGAAAGTAGAACTTAGGTTTTCTCATCACAAAAAAATGGTGATGCATATTTTAATTAGCTTGATTATGGTAATTACTTCACAGTGTATATGTATATCAAAGCATCACATTGCATATCTTAAATATATACCTCAATAAAGCTAGAGAAAAAGGCAGCGCGTTTAGAATAGAATTAGCATATAAATTATGCTAAGTGTTCACTATTGCATTGTTATTATTACTTTGTTATTAATAAGTTGATATACTATTGGAAACAACCCCAGTTGCATTCCCCAGATTACATTATCTGTCATTTGTACAAAATGTCCTACAGTATTTTACTAAACCTCATGAATTTATTCATCTGGTATAACTGAAAGTTTTTATCCTTTGACCAATATCTCTATTTCCTCCACCCCACCAGCCCATCAACAACCATTCTATTCTGTCTTTATCAGTTCAAATGCTTTAAATTCCATATATAAGTTAGATCATATGGTATTTGTCTTTCTCTGTCTTATTTTATTTAGCATAATGCCCTCCAGGTTCATCCATATTGTTGCAAATGGCAAGAGTTTCTTCTATTTTCAGTTTTAGTAAGATTCCATTGTGTATATCACATTTTAGTTATGTATTTATTAATAAGTATGTACTCTTGGTGCTGAAATGAAATGAGAAAAATAAATCCAGTCTCAGTCCCTGTGCCTTTCCCAGGATCTGGAGAAAAAACTGGGGTGATTCAGACTAGGGGGGTAATAACCAGGGCCCAGTCTAAAGAGGCAAAGAGGACCTTATTGACAGACTACAATTCTGAACAGTTGCATTCCCCAGATTACATTATCTGTCATTTGTACAAAATGTCCTACAGTATTTTACTAAACCTCATAAAAACTCAGTGAGTCCAAATTCAAATAGCTCCCATCTGCTTCAATTATGCAATGTCAGGGTTGGGGGTAGATTCCTAGCTAGAGCCATGGTTAGGGCCAGGATGCTTGTCTGCAGACATCTGGGGCTCTCCTGGAGAAGTAAAACTTCCTTAATGTCCTCCATCTCATATTACTGAAAGGGAAAAGGAGGAAGGGTGATATACTATTGGAAACAACCCCATTTAGAGTGGGAACTTGTGGCAACCCAGACAATATCTCAGCACTTATTTCATCATGTCCCAAGGAAAACAGTCAACCATTAACAAATGGCATGTAAGCAGCTTGTTTCCAATAGAACCATAGGCAACCAGAGTTCAGAGAGGTTTGTCTCTTTTTTATGAGTAGAAACTGAGCAGAAAAACCTCTAAGGCTTTGTCAACTGTCTTTCCTAGGACAACTGCTGAGTCAAGCAAGACAAGGAAGGTGCTGTGCTTGGCACAGGTTAAATGTGCAGACAAAACAAAGCTGTGAAACACAGCAAATGTAGCTCAATATGTGGTACTGAGTGTCAATTGTGTAAGAGTGTATAGTCTACGCTAGCATTCACAAAAGGGAAACCACAGTGAGGAGCTAGAGGGTACAGTCAGAGAAGGCTTCTTTAGGGAGGAAGAATGTGTGAATTTTACTTTAAAGGCTGGATGTATTGAGATAGGAAGCATCACTGGGGCAGAGAGGAGGTATTAGTGTGAGCCCAACATATAGATCTGTGATTTTGATGAGTGAGTGGCAAATAATATTAGCCATCCACCACCACCACCCCACCCCTATCCCACCCTGCTCTCTGCAGGGCCTGTATGTTCCACACCAGGGTGACTGCCAAGCAGGCTGTGCAGGGTGCTGCCTGCAAG